GGCAAATAGAAATTCGCTTAGTCGGTAGGTTTGCTGCAGCGGGGGTATTTTTCTGTAAATAATAGTATATTTCATCACTATGGCACTATGAATGCGAGCACCACTATGGGGAGCGAGCTGGCGTAGTGGCTAGAGCGCGGGACTTCGGTCCGTGAGGTCCCGGGTTCGATCCCCGCCAAGTCACCAATGGATTTTATCTAAGTGATAATGCCGCAACCCCTAGGTCTAGCCTGAAGTAATGTGAAAAACAATCCCAGGCTCAGAAGCCTAGCGTCCTAGGACAAAAAAAAAAAAAAAAAAAAAACTGGCACTAAAGTGTCTCTTTTTGACCTGAAGTCAAGTCTTATGATCGAGGCGAAGCCGAGGTCTGAAAATGAGCGAGGGTTGAAAAGACACATTTGCCCGTGTGATGAACTATATTTTTCGTCATATTGCACCGTTATTTGAACAAACTATGATATAAAACTAAAATAGTTTTCATTTAAAGAACCCCTCAAAATGACTTCTCACTAGTTTTCAATTAAATTTGCTGATGGAAACAAGCAGCTCTTTAGTAAGTGATTCAATCGTTTCGTCTATTTACAATTGTGTTGGTGTACTGTACATTATACTATCGATATGTCAAACTGTTTACAATAAGGCAACAATTAACTACAACTAGTGTGTCTGTTGCTCAAAATCGATCTTTGTAGACCTCATGTAATTCTTTATTTGTTCTGATCCTCCAAATTCCTTCTTCTTCAATTAGGCCATATATTCGTCTGAGAATTTTGTTTTTGAAAATTATTAGCTTCTTAGAGCTCAAAATCGAACTGTCAAGTACCGTTATTATACAGGCATTATTTAAAACTGCAGTAATAACGGTCATAATTTTTGATAGTATTTTATTGTTTTATACAAATGTTTCCCGACTTATAGCTGTTACGAGTAAACATTTCCTGCATGTATTCATTTGATCTGACATTAGGCAGGTTTATTACCACTGTGATAACATGATCTGTATATTCTTCATGATTTCTATACTATACTTGCAAAATAAGTTGGATAGCAGAACTTGTAAAAACTATTCATCTCTCCAAGTGATTGTGTATCTGGATTCCTTACTGTGAGACCAGGCCTCTCTTCTACTCTTCTCATACATTTAAGATTTCCTCTTAACCTCCTCCTGTTTTAAATATTTCTTCTTTAAACTCGAGAAATTTTCTGTTCTTCCAACAAACCTGATATACTGTTTGGATTCGTCTATAACCTCCTGAATTTTACAAATATTAATATTTTCTTCCAAGAAGCTGGAGAGTTTCTTTTTATATACAGCTGTTTTTTGTTTTTAAATTTGTTCAATGTAATTCTTATGGTGAAAACCCGACCTTTAAAAGTGTCTCGCGCCCTTAAGGGTAGGAACTTTCAAATTCTAAAACCTTAATGCAAAACTAAAAATTGGGCCGAATCTTTTGACACCTTAAACTTTGAAATTGGCCCAGAAATAATAAGGGAGGAGTAGTGTTCACAAAAAACAGCCCTCACGTATTAATATAAGAGATTGATTCTTTCTATACATTTGATTGTTTACAATCGAAATTTACAACTGATTTGACAACAGCTAATTTTTAATCCCTAAAATTATATTTATAAAGGGGCTAAAAATTATTTTTACTCTCTAGAGAGTACAAATACTACTTTAGAACCTCAACGCATGCATTAAAAAATGGCTGTTTTTGTTGCAGTAAGACGGAAAACTGTTAAATGAAATGTATACAGAATACAATAAATAATATTCAATAACAAATAACAAAGCAATAATCTTTATAAATAAAATTAGAGTTTTGTCTGTACATTGCTCAAAATTATAAATTTTTAAATTATTTTTCCGTTTTGTACATTAAAGAAGCCGAAACAAGTCTCATCTCTATTTCTGTCTGTCGGTCTGTCTGTTACGGCCCAAGAGGCATTTTACGCGGCCTTCTCCTGAAAAACGAGAGTACCTATCAAGATCCAAATCATTTTAATGTATTCACTGGATTGGCAAGATTGTCTTTAGCCATTAAAATATGGCCTCACTATTTTTAAAATAAAATGACGGATGTTTAAAAACCCGATTTCGTGCGATTTTTGTCAAGTTTTCTCCCAATGTCCATCACATAATCATCTATGAAATAACGAACAGCTGTTCAGATCAAGATTATTTTTTCTCCAAGTGATTGTGTATCTGGATTCCTTACTGTGAGACCAGGCCTCTCTTCTACTCTTCTCATACATTTAAGATTTCCTCTTAACCTCCTCCTGTTTTAAATATTTCTTCTTTAAACTCGAGAAATTTTCTGTTCTTCCAACAAACCTGATATACTGTTTGGATTCGTCTATAACCTCCTGAATTTTACAAATATTAATATTTTCTTCCAAGAAGCTGGAGAGTTTCTTTTTATATACAGCTGTTTTTTGTTTTTAAATTTGTTCAATGTAATTCTTATGGTGAAAACCCGACCTTTAAAAGTGTCTCGCGCCCTTAAGGGTAGGAACTTTCAAATTCTAAAACCTTAATGCAAAACTAAAAATTGGGCCGAATCTTTTGACACCTTAAACTTTGAAATTGGCCCAGAAATAATAAGGGAGGAGTAGTGTTCACAAAAAACAGCCCTCACGTATTAATATAAGAGATTGATTCTTTCTATACATTTGATTGTTTACAATCGAAATTTACAACTGATTTGACAACAGCTAATTTTTAATCCCTAAAATTATATTTATAAAGGGGCTAAAAATTATTTTTACTCTCTAGAGAGTACAAATACTACTTTAGAACCTCAACGCATGCATTAAAAAATGGCTGTTTTTGTTGCAGTAAGACGGAAAACTGTTAAATGAAATGTATACAGAATACAATAAATAATATTCAATAACAAATAACAAAGCAATAATCTTTATAAATAAAATTAGAGTTTTGTCTGTACATTGCTCAAAATTATAAATTTTTAAATTATTTTTCCGTTTTGTACATTAAAGAAGCCGAAACAAGTCTCATCTCTATTTCTGTCTGTCGGTCTGTCTGTTACGGCCCAAGAGGCATTTTACGCGGCCTTCTCCTGAAAAACGAGAGTACCTATCAAGATCCAAATCATTTTAATGTATTCACTGGATTGGCAAGATTGTCTTTAGCCATTAAAATATGGCCTCACTATTTTTAAAATAAAATGACGGATGTTTAAAAACCCGATTTCGTGCGATTTTTGTCAAGTTTTCTCCCAATGTCCATCACATAATCATCTATGAAATAACGAACAGCTGTTCGGATCAAGATTATTTTTTCTAGCTGTCACTGATATGTTTACATTTAATGTTGTTTACAAAATACCGCAAACATTTCCAATAACGTGTTGAAAGCAAAATCCAAACCAAGTGAGATTAAAAACGATGTTCCTTGCATAAAGGATTTAATTAATCGAAAGTTCAATAATGTGTATTGTAACCGTAAATGAAATTGGAGATTTTTTGTGTATAAAATGGTTCTGAAGATTTGATAACCGGGAAAAAGACCTTGAATCAGTGTTGTATAGGGCTGGGAACTTACATTTATAAAATCATCGTTGCCAATAGCTTACTAACAAGGTTTTCACTCATTGATGGCATTCAATGGTGAAATATGTGAAGTGTAAAGTGAAAAATCATAACTGCAGTGGGTTATTATAACAGGTTTGCCGGTTTACGGATGATGCTAAACTCGCTTTTCCAATGTGTCACTTTCGGTTTCTACTCACCGCTATGTGCTGCAATCGCTGGACCATACAGCCAATAAGCCCATTGACTGTATCTTGGGTACGTAGGCCTACCCAATTATTCATGACAACCTATTCGACGACGATCTTTGATACCGGTACTTTTCCCTACAATACATGGCCTACCTACTTAGGAAATCAAATTAAATAAGTTAAAAAACCACAACATTGTGTGATTTTTTACATTTTTATTTGATTTCCTAAGTAGGTAGGCCATGTATTGTAGGGAAAAGTACCGGTATCATGGATCGTCGTCGAATAGGTTGTCATAACTTTTTGTCAGAAAATCCAAAACCAAGAGAGATCAATTAATAGCCTCGGAATTTTAAGTAAATGTTTGGATTAACTCATTTAATTGGTCGGATATACTATAGTTCTTAACTGTAAACGTTGGTTTTTGGTACTGGTTTTTTCCTTAGAACCGGTGGTATCAACAAGAATAATTTTTACGTAGGTACCAACACATCACTATTTACAAATTAGTTATTGTTAGTGTTGCACCTTATTTATTACAGTAGGCCTAGTATTCAATTTAACTGATGTCTTACTGTATAAGTTTTGCATTTTCTTGATATGTCATTATATTAGGTTTATATAATATATAATAGTTTTGCCAGCACATCTGAAAATATGCAAACCAACTGCTGTTCTTTATATAATAAGGTTTCAACTGACTACTATAAGATCCCCGTGCGTAGAACGGGCACACAGCTAGTAGAGAATAAAGTAGGTCGTCAGATTTTAACAATTAATAAAATATGAAAAAGTAACGGGGTAAATTTAAAAGGGATTTCGACTACGTACTACAATCAGGCTGAAATTAAATCTATTATCAATTAAATCAGCCTATTTAAAACTCATTTTCTTGCTTACGATCTGACTGTGGTCAGTAATTAAACACTGGAGGTATTCAGCCGATGAATTACAATTCACATTTAAAACCAGTATATGCAGTATTAGCCAGCGGCACTGGACCCTTGAAAGCACCCTCTAGAAAGGAATCAAAGGCTTGTTGGGCACAGTCTGAAGAAAGTTATTGTCTTAATTATCATTCCGCTCGGTTAGATCATAAAGCTTTCAAATTAACCTTCAATTGTAAAAACTGTTTAAGTAGGACTTGCAAAAAAAAAGAGACGTCATAGAGAAAACCATTGTTGTATCAGGTATATATAGATAGATGGATGGTAACAAATTATAAAATTATTTATTATTAGGTAGGATTTGTTGCAGGTATTCTCAGAGCCATGCAGACCAGTGAAGCAGTTGGTGCGCCAGTGTAGACAAGCGCTGCCCGACCGCTCTCTTGGTGATCTGGACCCTCAAGTAGCTGAGCTTGACACTCACATAGAACGAGTGATGCTCATTGTACAGTTTGCTGTCTCATGCTGTGAAAATGCTACCAGTAAGTTTGAAACTGCACAGCTCAATATTTAAACTGGGTAACCATCAAGCTGAGGTGACAGGAATTTTATGAAGGTTGTGCGTAAAAGACCGCACCAAGCACAGCCGAGCGGGCTGGTTCAACTCTTGAGACCCATGTCGTGTTCCCTATTTTATTCACTATTATTCTAACTGGTTCCCACCACTATGGAATAATTAGTCTTGTCATAGTATTTAAAAATAATGTGAAAAAAGCTACGCTCTTACCAAATATGAACCACACTCTGTCATAATGTTTCTGTAGGAAGAGGGTCAATCCTTGTTGATTACTGTTACCAGTTTACAGATGTGCATGCAGAAATAAGTTAAAGTAGAAGAATTTTTAAATTTGCATAAGTGGCTAAGGGAGTTGAGTGAACGCTGTACACAATTCTACAACAAGGCCAGCAGCAGATTCATTGTCTTTCAGATTTCCAAGGTTGACCGTAGACCGCAGTATTATAGAGACAGTCTACAGTCTCTATTAGTTAGAAAATACTCTCGTTTGTATTGTATTGTGATAGGGGTGGACTCGTGGTCCAAGCACGTCAACCGAAGCTTATCGCGCATCCCACCTGCCACTAACTGGGTAAGCCTATGCCTGTATCCTTGACTAGGTGCAGGAGCTTTTGCCCAATGTTAGCAGCCTGATAATCAGACAAAATCGCTATCCTCTTGTCTTGGTAGCATCTGGCTAGTCATAGGTTGGCACAATCCAAGATACCATAGATTTATGCCTGGTAACAGCTATACAGCTGGTATAGTATCATCCCAGACTTGCTGAAAGTTCTGTTCTGGGCGATCGACTGTATACTCCAAAGCCAGATTTTCTATTGATTAGCGAGCCGTCTGTGTACCAGATGAAGCTCTCCGTATCTTGGAGATGCCCTTCCTGATGTTTCCACTCATCCCTGGAACGGAATTCAACATTGAAGGGTTTGGTGAAAACTGCTTCTGCGCTTAGGAAGTACGAGGTCATGTCAAGCACAGGACACGCAGACAAAGTCTTGGCAATGATGCAGTGACCTGCCCCTGACAGGCAGTCCCTCCACAGATTTGCAAACTGCCTTGAGGGCTCCAGATTTGATAAAGATGTCCAGAGATAGCAGCATAAGAGCGACTTCTAGACTAGCTAATGGACTGCTCCTGAAGGCTCCAGTGGCTTGTTGCGTGCCAAGCCTTTGCAGGCTTTCTAGTTTGGCTATGACAGTTACCTGATTCACCTTTGTCTACCAGACTAGCGAACCATAGGTAATTTGAGGCCTGACCACAGCCTCATATAGCCAGAGTGCTATGTGGGGTTTAATTCCCCAGTTAGTTCCTGCAAATCTCCTGGACGTCATGAGCGCCCATTTGGCCTTTTGCAGTGCAATGTTTAAGTGGTTGTTCCACGTCAGCTTGGAGTCAAGTGTCAGTCCTAAATACTTGAGTAGTGCCAATTTTCAACCTGGAAAGAGAATCCAAGTTCTTTTTCCTGGTGAAAGGAACTACGACTGTCATAGAGGGATAAATTTTGAGTCCCTCTCTGAGACACCATGCTTTAACATATTGCAGGTTGACATTCATGACGTCAGTTACAATGTTTGTAAATTTTCCTCGTACCATGAGGACTACGTCATCTGCGTAGCCCTGGACAAAGATGCCCTTGCTGGTGAGTTCACATAAAAGACCGTCCACCTCAAGGTTCCACAGTAAGGGTGAAAGTATAAGTATAACTCCCTGCTCCATCTGCCTAAAGATTGCTCGAGTCCACGCTCACAAACTCCCCGCACCAAAGTTCCATATGTTACATTGTCGACGGCTCCTTCTATGCCCATGAAGGTGCATAGGGCTATTTCCTTAGCAGCCAGGCTGTCCTCAATTCTGCTGACCAACTCGTACAGAGCGGTTTCACTAAACTTGCCTGGCTGGTAGGTGTGTTGGTTGCGATGAAGGGGTGTGTTGAGAAGTAACACCCTTTCTTATGTGCCTCTCCACCACTCTTTAAGGTCTTGAGGAGAAATAAGGAAAGACTGATGGGGCGGAATGATTTGGCATCAGAGTAGTCTGCTTTTCTTCTTTTGGGAATGAAGACCACCCTGCTGAGACGCCTGGCCTGAGGGATGTACCCGTAGGCCAAGCTTGCTCGGAAGAGTTCACATAGGAGGAGCTTGAGGGCATCCGGTCCTTGCCAAAGCATGGCTGGATGGATGCCGTCTTCACCAGGAGACTTAAATGGACCAAACTTATTTATTGCCCATTTAACTTTAGAGAGAGTGACAACCCTTCTGGCTATATTCCAGCTTTCACGATCAGTTCTCGGTCAAGAACTTTATTTATTTATTTATTTCTTTTATTACAATGCTGCAAAACAGGATAAACCAGTTACATTGTAGCATTAATATCTAACAACAAAATCTTGACATGCATTATAAATAATAAATATGGTAAAAGTTCATCTTGCTGAATAAATTATAATTTTTAGTGTAATCACTCACAACAATACAATATATGACAAAAACGAACTAATATCAATAAATAACGTACAAATAAATATCTTAAAAAATAACTTTGGCAATTATTTAAATATCAATAACAACAATAACAAATTAAATAAATAAAATACAACAACAAAGTCTGAACAGAGTAATTAATTTAATAACAATAATTATTTGGTAGTAATTAAATATCTAAAAACGTATTTCCTGAACGTACTGTGACAGTTAAAAAATATGTCTATTTGGTCGTTATTAATTGAGTTGAACAGCCTAACCATTGAGTTGAGCGGCGAACACATTCCAAGGTTCGTTCTAGAGAAGTGGGGGGAGAAGAGCAAACGCGAACGTGAATTGTGTCTGGGCAACGTGAACCGCACACGGGACAGCAGCGCTGCGTCGTCGAGCTCACCACACACCAACCGCCTCAGATACAACATCATTGACACTTTACGCCTAGTACTCAACTGATCGATTTCAAACAGTGTGAGAAGTTCTGAGTATGGGACCAGCATCGTATAGTAACCAAATGTTTTGTAATAAAGAAATCTCAAGAACCTTCTTTGGACATCCTCTATGAGATCGGATAAATAGTTCACACTAGGATACCATACCACAGAAGCATATTCTAATCTTGACCTGACCACTGAACAATATAACAGTTTAATACTTCTCTGATTAGTAAAAATGTTGTCCAACCTGCGGATAAGACCAACAATTGAGAAGGCAGTCTTACAAATGGAAATCACATGATCATTATATGTAAATCTGGAATCAAATGTCACACCCAAGTCTTTAATTGAAGTTTTCCTCGAAAGAAGACTACCACCAATATTATAATTATGCATGATGAGGTTACTAGGGGTTTTCTTTGAATATGTTACAACAGAACATTTATCCACATGAAATTTTAGATTGTCACGACTCCAAAGAAACAATCGATCGATATCATCTTGTAGCATAACACAATCTTGTTGGTTGTTGACAATAGTAAATATTTTGAGATCGTCAGCATATAGAAGAAACTCGCAGTTTATTATCAAATCTTTTAAGCTATCAATGTACAAAATAAATAGCAAAGGTCCCAAATTTGAGCCCTGGGGCACACCTGAGTCTACATCAAATTGTTCTGATAGGTGTCCCTCAAAAGATACAAATTGTTTTTGTTGGTGAAATTAAAGTTAATGAAAGAAAATTTGTTGTAAACTCTTTTATTATCTTACAAACACAACACAACACTGAATTATATTTAGTAAACAACTTCATATGTACAATGTAAAAACATATGATGGTCCATCACTAATCCAGACTAGATGAGTTGGGTTGCAATATTCAACATCCCCCCTCACCAAACTTAGCTAGGTAAAAGTCCTAGGCACTTTTGAAATTTGTGATGTTTTGGTTCGCTTAGTCCTTTAGTAAAAATATCAGCAACCATGTATTCTGTGGGTTGGTAGTTCAATTTTATTTCTCCATTTTGTACTTTTTCCCGTATAAAATGTTCTCTGATACTGATATGTTTAGATTTACTTCCTATAATGGAGTTTTTAGCCATTGTAATAGCTGATTGGTTATCACAAAATATTTCAATGACTTCTTGAGGTCTTCCAATATCATTAATTAATTGTTTTAGATGAATGGCTTCTTTTGCTGCTTCAGTCAATGACATGTATTCCGCTTCACTTGTAGACAGAGCTACAGTCCTTTGCTTTTTTGATTCCCAGGAGATTACAGCCCCGCCAAATTTAAAACAGTAACCGGTGTATGATCTCCTGTCTTCACTGCATGCCCAATCTGCATCTGCTGCTCCAATTAATGGCTTTCCTGTTTTGAAAAATTCAAGACACAAGTTCTTTGAGCCTTGCAAATATCTGAGAACCCTCTTTGCAGCAATCCAGTGTTCTTTTCCAAAACAAGAGTTATATTGGCTCAGGTAACTCACAGCATGTGTTATGTCAGGTCTTGTGGCTATTGACAAATACATCAATGAACCGATTAAATTTTGGTATGGGTAGTTACAATCTTTTTCATGTCCTTTAACCAATTTTAGACCTGGTGTTAGTGGAGTTACAGCTGGTTTGCAGTCAGTCATATTGAATTTTTTCAGGACTTCATTTATGTATTTCGTTTGTGACATTGATATCCTTCCATTCTTTCTTGTGAACTCTACCCCCAGACAATAGCTTAGTTCACCTAAATCTCTCATTTCAAAAGTTTTCATGAGCTGGGCTTTGATGTAATTGCGGTACTTTTGGTTCTTTGTGGCAATTAAAATGTCATCTACATATACAGAGATTATTGATTTGCATCCACCTACTGTTGAAATGTATATACAAGGATCAGCTTGAGATGGTGTGAATTTCAGTTCCTTTAGTTTTTCATCAAGCTTCATATACCACTGTCTTCCTGATTGTTTTAAACCATAAACTGCCTTTTTTAGTAGACAAACCTTTTTGTTTTGAGAATTTTTCAAGTCAGTAATCATTTTCTTTGTTTTGTTGAATAGTTT